GGCTGCTTATTATTATGAATATATAGGTAATATTTTTAATATTGGAAACTAAACTCTGTATGTAAACCCATTGTTGGGTTAACAAGAATATTTTAAGAACAAAATTACCAAATCGGTTAAGCTGTTCTCAAATTTTAGCGATACTAACAAATAGCAATTACTATAATTTTAAGTAAGTACTATAAATTGTAAGATATACTATAAAAGCTACTCCTCTTCATCTTGAGACAAAATTTACCATGTTTTATTTCAGAACGAATGTATAGGCGAAAAAGAAATCTGCCATTATTGTATACAACATACACATACAAATACCCGTACATACTTTTCATTGCCTAAACTTTTGACACGATAGGAAAAAAAAAGCTACGACAAATATATTTATTATTTACTTTTATCTACAAACCAATATTTTCTTGCGTACAAGCCTCGTGTTGACTAGACAAAAATAAAAAATAATATTTAAATCAGTAAAGTATTTAATAACCTACAATAATTAATTTTATTATATCGGATTGTTTGACAGCAGTGACATTAATAAACATTAATAGGTTTAAAAATCGTTCGATCATCATTCACTGAATTTGGTACGTACTTAATATAAATTATCATTTTATACTTTATCAGATGAATGAACTAAACTTTAAATCGGATTTTTCTATTTATTTATGCTTTATGTACACAAAAAAAAAAAAAAAAATTGGAACAAAAGGTGGACTTAATGCCATATGGATTTGTCTTCTAGTCAACCTTTGGGTCAAGTAGAAGAATGGGCGAGTTTTAAATAATAGATCAGTGTTTTTTTAAAATAATGGATCATTCTTTATACTTACGGTTATGTACCACGTAGTCGCACGCCCGTCTTACTACACTTTAATCAATCCGTACAAAAAATAATCCTAAATGATATGTTTGATATACATACGATAACAAACTAATTACAAGATTATAAAGATATTAAATAACGGATGTATATAACATATATAACTGAGTGAACCAAAATTTCGTATTATTTGGAAAACCCAGTGTTGTTTATTGTTATTCAGTACTGTGAACCTTTATAATCTTGATTTAATTTTTGATAGAATAATCTTGTTTTTACTGCTTTGTAATCCGTATGAATCAAAATATTGACACTGTTCGATCAGAACCCCTTCATTTAAAATTGATGGTCGGATCACTTGTTTAATTATTTAGTTTGTTTTTATTTACCGAAATAAAAAAATGGCAATCCTATGTCACTTTTGCTTTGAACGTCGCGTAAATCGTCGGGTACCGACGTATTAGGTAATTTTCTGACGATATTAATAGACATTTTTTATTTAAGTACTTACTTACTTTTTTTTTTGAGATTTCTCAAGTGAATTATCCCGCCCTGCGTAGTAGTATAAAACTCATACTGACTAAATACCATACATATAACTGTGGCACTTGCAGATACTACCCCGAAAAAATTTGATGGCTTGTGTAATATTTCTTTTAAAAACATATGTTAAATCATCATCATCATGAGCCTGATTTCATCCACTGGTGGACATAGGTCTCCCCAACAGCGCGCCACTGCATTCGATATTTTTCTCATCCAATCACTGCTAGCCACCCTGCGGATATCGTCAGTCCACCCAGCTGGAGGGCGCCCTACACTACGTTTGCCTAGGCGTGGTCTTAACCCTAGAACACGTCTTCTCCAACTGTCATCGATATTTCGGCAAATGTGACCAGTCCCCTGCCACTTTAGTTTACTTGTCCTTTGTGCTATGTCGACAATTTTAGTTTTTGTCGGATTACCTCGTTTCGAATACACTCCTTCACAGAGACTCCAAGCAGCCCTTTAAATAGTATGTCTATATCTTAACAATCGTTATGATGTACTGATTAATATTCTGTATTGCGACTACGTCACGCCATGTGACTTCAATTTATATCGACAGAATGATGACGTTCGTTTAATTTAATCAGCTTAAGATTAAAAATAGTGTTTTTCTTAAACAACATTCTTGTAAATCTATACATTGGGGCTTTTCCTGTTTGCTAAGAAGCACATTTTTTTTTAAACCAAGATTCTTTCTTGTGGGTCCTAATAACAACTCGTTATTCATGAAATTAATTAATTAAAAAAAAAGTACAGACAGTCAGTAGACAAATGTTAGTAAATAACAACCAAAGAGATCAATGTAATTTATAAAAAAACTAGCTCTTACCCGCGGCGTAGCTCCCTTCATTTTATTACCTACCCTACTCTACCTACCCTACTCTACCTACCCTACTCTGACTACCCTACTCTGCCTATCCTACTCTACCTACCCTACTCTACCTACCCTACTCTACCTACTCTACCCTACTCTACCTACCCTACTCTACCTACCCTACTCTACCTACCCTACTCTACCTACCCTACTCTACCCACCCTACTCTACCTACCCTACTCTACCTACCGTACTCTACCTACCCTACTATACCTACCCTACTCTACCTACCCTACTCTACCTACCCTACTATACCTACCCTACTCTACCTACCCTACCCTACCTACCCTACTCTACCTACCCTACTCTACCTACCCTACTCTACCTACCCTGCTCTACCTGCCCTACTCTACCTATCCTACTCTACCTACCCTACTCTACCTACCCTACTCTACCTACCCTACCCTACTCTACCTACCCTACTCTACCTAACCTACACTACCTACTCTATCCTATCCTATCCTATCCTATGTCCTTCTCCCAGTTCTTTTCTACCTCCCTCCTAATTTTCAGCTAAATCGGTTTAGCAGTTCTTGAGTTATAAGTGGAGTAACTAACACGACTTTCTTTTTTTTATAAAGATGTCAGGGTAATGAAATTGAAGTTTAAAATGGCACTGGGGACCCCTTTCTCTCGACTGGTTGGGCGTCCGAAACTTTACTTATCGTACGAATAACAACATTAGACCTCGACAAAAAAATGGGCAATGTAAACTTTTCCATAAATCAGGTGATCCGGTTAATAGATTAATCTTTTTAGGTTTAACATTTAGGTAAAGCCTGTTAATAAGTATATCAACCTTATTTGATATAAGAACTCGGTGTGATTTTGAATAATAAATTTGTCATCAACTGCTTACGGAAAAGGTTTAATTTATCACTGCAATCACTTAGTCATAATATTTATATCGGATTATATTTTTTAAGTAAGTGAAACAATAGGCATAGGTATACATACATGCATACATACTCGATTGCACTTGTTTGCTAAACATCGTAGCTTATTTTATACTAGCTTCCGCCCGCGGCTGCATCAGCGTCGTATGTTGATAAAAAGTAGCCTATGTCCTATTCCGGATTGTATCCTATGCCTGTGGCAAATATCATCCAGATCCGTCCAGCCGTTTTGGCGTGATTGAGTAACAAACATCGTAACTTTCGCATTTATAAGTTAGATTCTTTATAACAAATATTCATTAGAAATAAAACTCACTTATATCTTCAGATCAATTTTTATGTGGATCACAAGCCAGTCCATATTTGTCGCCATACTTTTTAATATACCATAAACAAGCCAAGACATCCACAAACTAATTCCACACCACTGGTAGTGTTGAAGTACTTTTATACTGATATAATAGCAAATCATTTCAGAAGTAATAGTCTCTTTTCATATCATTCCTCACACAATCTTTCGCTAATTTTATTAGCCGTCTCATTTCCTTCCATTGTGCTGAAATAAAAATTCAGCAGATGCATCGACACCGATAAACAATTTTAAGGAAAATATCCATCATTACTATTAAACTTGAAAAAACCCAGAAACTCTTATCTTAGGACATCAGGATTACGAATCGAAAAAGAAAAACAAATCAGCTACTAATAGTCATCGCTATCTTACTAATATATTAAATCGCATGTAATCCAAACACGCTATTATCACTGTACTTGATTGTGTCGTTTACTTGATTAATAGTGCATAACCTAAAAAAGATAGTCTTGCATGTTACAATTTAACTACGTTTGATGAAATCTGAATTGAATATGTTCCCCATAAACTGTTCTGCGTGTTGTACTACAGTTCTTGCACATCGACGTATTTAATACTTACACAATACACTTGTGTAAGCATTAGATACGTCGATCGTACTAGGAAATATCAAATCCTTTATGGCCCCGTACAGTGAACAAATGACTTCTCTAGCCCTAGTTGGGGGCATGTCTTACCGACTAAAAACTACCCACATCCTTCTCCATCGTCGTAATGCATTATTGCATTTGCAAATCATCAGCCATATTGGTCCCATCTGTGGTAGTCTATTAGCTTTGAGGCGTGAACGGAACGATACGTGCCATACGCTCGGGTCTACTGTTGGTCGCCGTCCGTAGACCCGCTCTTTCGGTAGCTGGAGATCGTAAAGAAGTAACCGCAAGCGAAGTCGTGCTTTAGTTAAAATATACTAAGGTCTCGCTAACGGAGGTACGACGCGCACATCGTATATTGCTCATATGTTTGCCAGAGTGTTGACGCAGCCCGCTGATGCAATGATCGACGAATACCCAAGCGCCGCATCTTCGAATATGCATTAGGCCCCAGCCTATTCTTGTCCTTCCAGTATATTCTTGACCTGATCAGATTTTAAGTAATTGAATCTAGCTAATTCGATCAACCTACCATAACCCATTTTTGGGTTTTTATAATAGAATAATAGGCATGTTATCAATAGAAACAACCACCTTCGAATACTCACAATAAATTACACATAACTTGTTACACTCCATACACAAGACTCAGTCATTCGTATCTCAGTCATCAGTATTTATAGTAGACTCAATTTAAGATTTACCTTGAAAGGGCAGGCAGAAGGTTGTAAGATAAAAAGATCCGTAATGACTGGATACAATAAAATTTATATATAATAAATTGACATTGAAGTAACTGCTTGATAGATAATAAAGGTATTATTATAGTGATACACTACTCAGCTAAGAATGAACTAATCCAGCTTTACTAATTATCGTATTACTTTAATAGGTTCGTCGATTACGCAGACACAACGCACGACTTCGTGAGGAGTCTGCGAGAGCGGTGTGGCAGCTGAGACACTTCACGCAGTGGCTTAAGAGGACCGTCGACCGACAGTGAAACTACGAAACAAACCCACACGTCCAACAACAAAATACTCGAGAATACGTATGGTCACAAATTGATTTATACAATTGGAGGGTTGTGAATAAGCGTTAAAATTCGATTGTTTTTAACCTAAAGTAAAAAGCCTTACTTGACATCTAACAATATTTCATATGAGTAGTATTAAATACTTAGAAACGCGTGTAAATGAAATCAATTATACATTTCTCTCAATTCATGCGTCTATCAGACTGACAGAATCTGATGTTATTTTGATATCGTTTTAAAGAAATCTCTTTATAGTGATACTTTGGTGTAGTTGACCTCAATTGAAATTAAAAGTAATCAATTTATTTATTTGAAATTGCTTCAATAAATTTAACTGATAATTATAATTGATTACTGCTATAGCAATCAGAGACAGATAATGTGTCGGAACTATACAGTTGAAAGACAAATTATATTACAATCAGACGTCAAATTAATCGCGCTTTATAACGGCGGCTACACAATTTAATGCGAAAAATCTTTGAAAGGATGGTAGCTGTAGTCTTAAAAACATTATAGAAAATAAAACAAAGTTCAATTACCTATAATAATTCTTATGAAAATATATGCCTATAACTGAATGTATGATAACAATGTTAATACATGCGCTGTCTTATGAATTTCGTGCCTTTTCCGTGCTTCTTGTGAAGCGTTTGTTTTGGCGTAATTTTTACGTAATATGTTTGTACTAGTATTCGTAGACTAGACTAATTTGTTATTACCTTATATATGGTATTAATGGTTGAAGTTATTGTCTCAATTAAATTGACGTATTTACATATAATTGTTAAAAGTCTCGTTTTACAATAACTATCTGCATAAAACAGACAGTTTATGTAACAAACGTTTTATGGGTAATATATATATTATTTATTGCTATATGTTTATCGTATACACTATTGATACTTAGGCTTTAATTTATTTATCGATTACAGTTATCTAGATTAATATTTCGAGATTATGGTTAATTGTAAGGAGAACAGAAGTTGTAAGTGAACACCAATTAGTATAAGAATTATAGTATAAATCAGTCAAGTAAATTGTGGGCTTTATAATTAAATGTTGGCACACCTGTACCCAAGTAACAAATGATCCACATAGTCCCAAAGCGATGTGGTTACAGCCCACCATCAATTTGATATGATTAGTCTTGTGACGTAAGTTTTATGCTAGATTAGCTGTACTCTAATTATAAACAGACTTGAAACCTGCCAAATATTAATACAATAAGAGAAAAAATGCGTTAGCACAAATACTCGTACTAGTACTCGTTTAAATTATGATTAAACAAATACATGGAATGTTTACGCAAGTTGAACATAGTTCATAGTGAATGCATCTTATGAAATTGTTAGAACTATGTTCGTTGTAAGTTATTCGACGTCACAATCAAATTTATACTCAAATCTTATCGCGTACGAATGAATCGGATCACGTAAGGATACATCAATAGTTTTTGTCTTCGTTGTACTTTGTTTGTGTAAATATGAGTCTCATTAATTAGATGTAATCACGAATGAAGCTTTATTAGTTTAGGTTATTGTAGGCCTTAATTTTATTTGTAACGGGAGAGACTTAATTACGTATTGTGAGCCTTTATTCTCATTATAACAGTAAATACATATAGAGTACATCTCAATTGAATCATGTTATAAAACTGAATTGTATAAGATTCGAGTGAGTTTAGTGTTCCAGTAATTTGAAATATTTTCGAAGTGATATTCTCAGACACCTAAAGCAAAACAAGACTTACTTATAATTAAAAAGATGTAAAAATATGAGAACTCATTCATCACATACACATTTAATGCCAGAAGAAATATTAACGAAATATTGGTGCACTTATTTCAGTCTTCCGTATGTATTACCATTTTGATGTGTGATATATAGTTACTATACAAATATATATTAGTATATATTATTCAACTACGACATTGTTTGCGCAAACAGTTCATTGTTATAAAAATATTCATTTTATATATAGAACAATATGCAAAACTAAGTATTTTATCTATTTGTATAGATTTTTGATTCTCGACGAAGTTGTCTCTCTCTGTGAACACAACTGAACTTTACAAGAATTGTAATAATTGTTTTATTGTGTTACTCAAACATAAAGCTTGTAGAAATTATATATACGCGGGTACGACTCTCATATTTTTATTGCATGACAAGAATCAGGGGAAGTTGGTTTCTCCATGTAAATGCACGGGGTATTAGAACAAATAAGTCGTAAAATAATCAAAAATAATTTATACAAGCTAGTTTATTTTGCAAGTATATAGTTAATTTCGTCATATTTTTTTACCATTTTTGACTAACTACCAAAATGTTTTTGTTATGAAATTATCTTCGTCAATTATCTACTCATTATAGTTGTTGTATGGAAGTAGATACATATTTGAGTTTTGATACTATTTTTATTATTTGTACGTACATAGCCGTAACGTATTCTAATATAAATTATTTTGTATACTAGGGCAGCCGACGAAAGTTTTATATTCTATAATTAGTAAATGGTAACAGTTCAAGCAAACCCACTGTTGTATACTTTGATCGTAATAAAATCAAATGACCGAAAGACTCCTGATTGCTTGAGATACGTACCATTTTCTAGTTCGTTGTACATAAACACGAGTTCGTGTGTGAACCGTGTTAGACATGAATTTATATAAGTTTTCCCACCACTCATGTTTAGGATGTAGCTAAGTTATTTGTTATTTTTTCTACATTGGAAGGCTTGCTCGTATTTTGTTAAATTGAATGTACACAACTCCTCACTTTATAATGCCTTGTTTATTTACCTACTTTTACCTTGTTCATAAATAATCGTTTCTTTTTCACAAAATCTGAGCAAGTCTTATATCGCGATGCCTAATGTTTACTGCGGATAAGTAAGTAACCAAAGCGATTACATTTTAACCTCCATATTTTTGAAATTTGGATTGTTTGCTCGTATAGCTTAAAGGTTCTATTATTTAGATACATAATTTTCCTTAGATAATTTGTACGTATTCTAAAGGACATTCCAATAAAACTTATATACCAAAATGTTGTTTTATTCAGCATCTTCAAATCCTTTTATCACAAAAAATTCAATGAACCAATGAATTTATTTTATAAAAATGCCATAAATAATGTAGATGAAGCCGATTCAGAAATAACTCCACCGAAAAGACGTTTTCCTTTTTGAGGAATTTGTTTTGATGGCCGGAAATTCATTGACTTCTTTTGCCCTCGGTCATGCGAGTAATGTTACCATGAGCGGACAGCACGTTCGAGAGCAGCGTTTTACTCTATGAATGGAAATAGGTACTAGATACGGAGACGAATTTCGCCTGAACATATTTTTAACTCCTGCCCCTTTTCGGTGGCATCCCACATTCGGTGGTCTATAAAAGATAGTTGGTGGCGTAGTTAATTCTATCAAAAACAGAAATTAAAGAAACGAACTTAATGTGAAGAGCCACGTTTCGCCACAAATATGTTGGCTGGACCGATGTGATACTACGGCCTCACAGAAAACCGGCGTGAAACAACCACAGCGTTGTGTTTCGCCGTGTGAGTTAGTTATTGCAGGCCTAATCCCTTCAATCCCTAATCCCCAAAAGGTCGGCAACGCACTCGTAACAACTTTGTTGTTGCGGGAGTCCATGGGCAACGCTGATTGCTTACCATTAGGTAAAAAATGCCTTCCTTGTAAACAGAAAAATAAAATAGATTGTTAACTGCAAATTCTATACCTACATCCACTTATGTAAACGCTCGTCTCTCAAGGCTACGTACTAACGCCCACGTACCACTCTCATATCACCGCAGCCAGTGCGTATGACAAATCATTAAAACAACAGCTACTGGTGGAGTTCATTCCTGGTGTTAGGCAAAGAAAACCATTGCAATATGTGCCTATGATACTTTTTTGTCATGCTATCACAAAATATTAGAATTCTTGGTTATGTAAATGACGGCAAAGATCCATTAGAACGACTGGAAGAGAAGCGGATACAAGATGCAGCCCTACGGGCACCAGGTTGAACATAGTCTGCTATGCCATCGCTTGTGACCAAGATCTTATTGGTGGTAGCACGGGAATTAGATCCATCGATACTCCAAAATTTGATTTGCTCGTGAAAATATTAAGTTTGTGAAGAGGCGCCATCTATTGAGACTGGTCAGCCTTAACGTGTCTAAATTAGGTAGTGTCTGTTCTCACTTATCAGAACCAACTCAATAATTGAAACTGATAAAAAATCTTGGAGTTTGCTCGTTCTTGTGCATAGGAATAAACGTGGGTACATACACATAAACTAGCAAATAGATTCACTGGATACTGACCGATAGACGACGGACAGACACTTTTTATCTTTAAATTTTTTGGCGTTGAAATTCAAATAAATGATCTGGTTTTGACTTACTCTTCCCAGATAAAATCATCACGAATCTCCAATAGACAGACGATTTTTAGTGGTACCCCCAGTGTGTTCCATAGCCAATTTCCGATAACACATTTACTTAATGTTTTTAAATTATTTTTGGTGGTCATCCGCTGATGTAGAGTGAACCCAAAGCAGAAGAAAAGAGAATTTGTAATTTTGCAATGTCCCCATTAACAAAACTTCTAAGTCTATCTACGCCAAATACAATTTTCTGGTTTTTCCAGATAACCGTAGTATTACGTAGGTAACTCGTTTAAGTATTTTAAAATAATTTAATCTAGTACAAGATAAGTAATTAAAAGATATTGATAACGAGGTTTCATATAAAAGAACGTTGCTTGTCTTGACCATTGTATCGAGTCACTTGGTCGACAACAACTACAATGCGCGTCCTCATCCTCCTAGCCCTTTTGGGCACCGCTTTCGGTGAGTAATAGTTGAAATACCTCTTGAAAAGCACTTTAAATGAAAAATACTTCGTTTCGTGGTATAACTGTGTTGTGATTTTCTGATTCAGCGGTCCCCAAGAGCATCAGCCGTATCGTGGGCGGCAGCCCCACCACCGTGGAGCAGTACCCTTACATGTCCAACATGCAGTATGGACTTTGGGGCATCTGGTGGTTCCAGGCCTGCGGTGGCTCTCTATTGACCCCACACTCCGTGCTCTCTGCTGCTCACTGCTACTTGTAAGTACTTCCAAGATTATGTTATTTTATTTGAATTCATATATTTTAGTGAATTCATCCGACATTGCTTTGTTACCTAAAACTAATTTGTTGCTTTTGTGACACAGCGGTGATGTTCCTTCGGAGTGGCGTGTGCGTCTGGGTACCTCTTTGGCGTCCAGCGGTGGCTCTCTACACTCCGTGTCCCAGTTGATCCTGCACCAGCAGTACAACCCCAACACGCTCGACAATGATGTCGCCATCGTTCGTCTGTCCGTCCCCGCCGTGTACTCCAACAGCATCCAGCCCGCTAGAGTTGCCGGCAGCGGCTACTCTCTCCCTGACAACTCCCTCGTCACCACCGTCGGATGGGGAACTCTCTCTGTAAGTTTTATTACCCACTCTTGTTATAACAAATAACTTGTTCATTTGAAAAATTGATGATTCGCAGTTTGGTTTTTAGCATCAATTGTCTACATTATTATTATCATTGTATTTGTATTCTTCAGAGCGGCGGCTCTTCTCCTGAGCAACTACAGCACGTGGACATCAACATCATCAACCAGCAGATATGCGCTGAGCGCTACGCCTACCTGAAGACCCAGCCCGGCTACGCGGGTTGGCCCGACATCACCGACAACATGCTGTGCGCCGGTATCTTAGATGTCGGAGGCAAGGACGCCTGCCAGGGAGACTCTGGCGGTCCCCTCGCTCACGACAAAGATGTCATCGTTGGTGTTGTCTCCTGGGGCTTCCAGTGCGCTGATGCTTTCTACCCTGGTGTCAACGCTCGCGTCTCTCAGTACAGTCAATGGATCGCCCAGAACGCCTAAATAAAAAAATATTTTATCATACTAAAAAATGCGTAATCTTACGTGCGCAAGAGTTTATGTCAACTCAACAACTGAAATAATATACGGGTTTTACAAATAAACAATTTTAAAATTTATTCGTAATTTTATTTATTATTTGTAAAAACATTCCTATTACTGATAAAATGCTCGTATTATACCTAATAGTAATTCCCGGCTTACACGGGCTTTGTAGTATAAGTGCTTATAATAAGTGATTTGTTTTTGGTATCGACTTGTCGCTTAGTAAATAGGATCGTTTTCTATTCACTTGGACTATTTACAATATATACCTACTGAACACAAATCAGCGTGTTCACACACGATGACTTAGTATGAGTGGCAAGTAGTACTAGCCCTTAGCTACGAAGGCTGTGTAAACCAGACGTAATCTATAGGTACTTATAATAAATCTGTAAAGAGGTCGATTCTGTACATGAAATATATTTTCAAAATATCTATCAGGGGGTGATAATTGAGACAGATTTAAATGGTTATAAAATCTGACGAGTAGCCTTTGTTTCTATAAGGAACATACAGACAGACAGACAAAAATTTTACAGATTACATTTTTGGCATCAGATTGATCACTATCACCCTAGATAGTTATTTTGAAAATATGAACATGTATCATGTACAGAATTGACCTCTCTACAGATTTATTATAAGTATCTATAGATTATACAGGCCAGTTATCAAATTACTTATTATTCAAAATACTCTTGAAGAGAGTAAGAACATTTATTTACCTGTAATGATTTTTTTATTAACTTTTTTAACCGACTTCAAAAAAAGGAGGAGGTTCTCAATACGATTGTATTTCTTTTTTAATTTTTTTTTTATGTTTGTTACCTCAGAACTCCGTCGTTTATGGACGGATTTGCAAATTTTTTTTTATGATTGAAAGGATATGCTTCCAGATTGGTCCCATTCTTTTCAAAATCGAGTTTTAATGATGGGATCCATGAGAAATGGGAACTCCTCAAATATTATAGGCAACTATATAGTAATTTTAATATTTTCATAGAGCACTCAAGCATTTACAGTCAAAAAGTAATATTTGATGAGGTGGAACTGGTGAAGAAGATCAGAAATGGGTGATGAAACTTGACACTCGCATAGATATCACAATCAAGGTAGTTAAGCAACTATGAAAATGCACTATAAACCAATGATCTTAAATAACTATGTTGAAAATGTTATCATCCAACTGATCTAATCATGATGATGGAGCTGGAAGGTAGGCACTGGAACTGCGTACCTAATTTATGTATCCTAGCCGTGTTTGGGCTTGTTAGAATTGTTATAAGATGCACTTTGGCTGTAAGGTACTATTGAACTGATATGATGATGAAGCTAGAAGGTGGAAGGTTGGCATGGGAACTTCAAAATAGAATAATGTATCCTAGTATTGTTTAAGCTTACTAGAGCTGTCATGAACAATGGAAAGGGCTATGCTCGGAGTTTCCTTGCGTGTTCGAATCAGAAATGAAGAAATCCGCAGAAGAACCAGAGTCACCGATATAGCCCGAAGAAATGCCAAACTTAAGCGGCAGTGGGCAGGACACATTGCTCGTAGAACAGATGGCCGATGGCGCCGAAAGGTTTTAGAGCGGCGACCGCACACCTTTGGGGGCGGAGTTTGGCCCAGTATTGGCTATTTTGCATTAGTCCACGTGGACTGCGTTTACACATAAGTGGTGAAATGAGTCATAGTGTTCTTATCGTTTTCCTGGTAATAGGCTAAGACAATTCATTGGCATTTTTAACAAAACAGTCGTTTTAAATGGGTTACAAAACAATAATTGCGTCGTACAAAACAATAATTGTGTCTCTTTTGTGTGCACAAATGTAGATAATACTTAAAAAAGGTTCATACATTGAATGAGTCATAAATGTATATTTACAATAGCGGTGGTCTTTTGTATTTACCAACTTGTCTATATATGAATGTTCTTAGTAATAACAAAATAGTTTTCTTCATATAGGTAATGGGTTACAATTGATACAAAACAATAATTGCATCGGTCTTTTTTCTATGTACGAATGTATTTAATCATACTAAAATAGATTGCATAGCGTTGGTATCTTTGAACTTTATCTGTCTGTTGATGAAAATATCTAGTTTTTTGTTATTTTGCGAGAACTAATATGAATTTATGATTTTTATTTATTTATTTATTTATTTATATTTATTAGAACCACCAGTAGTTATTACAACACATAAATGTATGGTTAACAATTATTAAGTTTCAAGCTAGTTGCATAACATATTAAGGTAGCTACAGCGTACAATTAAAAGAGAGCGTAATGACAGTGATACAAATAATATCTAACAAGACTTAAGTAACGTAACTTATACTAAAGATAAGATACATCTTTTAACAAAATTCTCTAATTTTACCAGTTTCAAACAAATTACAATAAACAAGAAGTAAATAAAAAGGAAGAGCTGGAGTCGACTAATTTAGATCAGCTAACTTCTTTCGGAATTGCGACAAAGAGTCAAAGTGTACGTCCAAAGATTCACTGCAGTTGTTAAATAAGCGACAAAGACGGGGAATGGGTGATGATTTACCAAACTCTGTGCGCCTAAAAGGGGCTGAGAGAGGTTGAACTGGCTTACGCGGATATCTCGATGGCACACTAAACCTAAAAGAATTAAGGAGCTGTGGACAGTTTATTTGACCTCGGAGTATTTTAAATAGAAAGATTAGATCTAAGATATCCCTGCGCTTTGAGAGAGTCTGCATTCCGAATAAATGCAGCCTGTCATTGTACGAGGACCTTCTATCGCCACAAGCTGTACCGCGACTAAGGTGCCATAGAAATTTTTTTTGCACTCTCTCGAGTCTAAGGGAATGTGTGGCATAGTGTGGTCTCCATACAGGGCTACAATACTCAAGAATACTTCTGACAAGACTACAATATAGTAAGATTCTTGTTTTTGGCTTTCTAAAAGGTTTGGAATTTCGAATTACAAAACCCAACATTCTAGACGCACTCTTAATGATATTTTCCAGATGAGGAACGTAGGTCAACTTTTTGTCGAGGAACACTCCCAAGTCTTTAATACAGCTTACTTCGGAAAGTCTATTGCAACCAATTCTATATGAAGAAGGATATGATTCATGCTTCCTAGAAAAGGTGATAAAATTGCATTTATCCTGGTTGAGGACCATATTATTATTATCACACCATTTGCTTATTTGATCGATGTCATTCTGTAATTTATCCACATCCTCTTGGTTGTTTATGACTCTTGAAATTTTTAGATCGTCGGCAAATAAGTAAGTCTTGGAATGTGAGAAGCACGATGGTAAATCATTTATAAAAACAATAAATAAAATGGGACCTAGATGCGATCCTTGTGGTACGCCAGAAGTTATGTGATGCTTTTTGGATTCAAATCCGTTCATCACAACGTAAAAACTTCGGTCGCGTAAATAAGATTCCAACCAAGACAAAAAGGGCCCATAGAAACCGTAAGCTGATAACTTGTATAGAAGTGCTGAATGTGAGACCTTGTCGAAAGCCTTGCTGAAGTCCACATAAACAACATCTACCTGCTGCTGTTTGTCCAGAGCTGCGGTAATTTCCTCAGTAAAAAGGGTCAGGTTGGTGCAAGTAGATCTATTCTTAACAAAACCATGTTGGAACTCAGTAAGAAAAGCCTGAAAGTGTCGTTGAACGACGGGACAAATAAGTGACTCTAATATCTTGCCAAATGTAGACAGGATAGAAATAGGCCGGTAATTATTAGTAACTGAGTCGTCATCGCTCTTGTGTAATGGTATTACCTTTGCGAGCTTCCAGTATGATGGAAATACGCCTTGTTGCAATGACGTGTTAAATATAATGTGCAGGGGAATTGATAGCTGTTTAGCGCATGTTTTAATGAATAAAGGCGGGATGTTATCAGGACCTGCACCTTTGTCTGCATCAAGATATTTTAGCTTAAGGTAGATATCATCAGGCCTCAGGACAACGGTACCCAATCCTTGTGCCAATTCACAGGTACGAGCTAGCGGACAGTTAGAAAAATCTCTAATGGTGTCGTTATTGTTATAAACAGAGCGAAAGTGAGTAGCAAACATTTCACACATATCTGCGCCGTCTGTAGCTGTTCTCAAGCCATCGGACAACGCTGCGGGATAAGTTCCTGCATTATGGCGCTTACGTTTAACATGAGACCAAAAAAATTTAGGGTGGGTAGCAATCTTGTCCTCACAGTATCTAACATAGTCATTATAACGCGAGGTAGACAATGTACTACATCTCTTGCTAAGTAGTTTCACGGTAATTTCGTCTCTTGGATTTTTATATTTTTTAAATCGCTTTAGGTATTTGATTTTTTCGCGAGTGAGTCTAATGAGATTGCTATTATACCAAGGAGGAAATTTATTACTTTTCAGAGATGATATAGGTACGTACATTTCAATTGCTTTCTCAATTTTCAGATACAGTATTTCCACTAATTCATTGACGTTGTGACTACAGTTAAGAATTTTAGCCCAGTCAATATCATCGAGATATCTTTGTATGTATTCGTAATTTGCTTTCCGAAATTTACGTCTAACACCAGCCTTACAAGGTTTCAATTTGGCAGTGACCGTTATAGATATAAAAAGCTCTATTGGAGGATGCAGTGAATCAATGGTAGTAAGTGCATTGCTGGATGCCAGGACTTTGTTCTCCAAAGAATTGCCTAGTAAAACCAAATCTAAAATCCTCTCCTTACTGTTTTTAATTTTATTACATTGCTGTAAATTATTAACATTGATGAAATCCAGCAAAGAGAGAGCTAATTTATTTAGAGGTTTGAGACTTAAAGGGTTATGAACTGAGTCCCAGTCAATACAAGCTAAATTAAAATCTCCTATAATACAAGGAGTGACATTCGGCTTTTCCAGTACCTGATTGCAGTTATCAATGAAAGTATCCAACAATGTTACGCTCAGAGGGGGCGGCAAATACACAGCGCACACGGATAGAAAAGTCTTCTCCTTATTTTTCTTCAAAGCTTCAATTGTGACCCATAAGTCCTCGCACTCACTTTCCCATGATTTCATGCGCTTGGGGTTGTATTTCTTTAATATAGCCACCAGAACA